TTGTGTAAAATTCAAAGTTTGTCTTTTCTCAAGGATTTTATGGACATATAAAAGAAAAAATAAATTATTTGTGTCATTACTGTTTCCACAGAATATATTACAACCGTACCCAACGTACTACTTCGCAAAAAAATAACAATCGTCTTGACAATACAAAAATATCTACATACAAAGTAATCACTGATATTTAACTGTTGATGTTTAACATATATAGAGGACAAACAATCATTACTATATCTGTACATGTATAGCAAAAAATAATCGAAGAAATCTAATAAAAATGGTAATAATTAATTATTTTTGTCCGTTAAAAAGCAATTAAGGCCTCTCTACTTGCATTAATGTCGCGCGATGGCTGACTCTATGCTGTGAAACATATTCAGACCCACACGCCTTCCATTTTCCTCTGTAACTCTATTCTTAATAGATTCGCTAATATGTCTACTGTCACAACCGAAATCTGGCATAGCAGTATCCTGTATCCCCTTCAAAACACTTATGTGTGTAGTCTATACATAAGAGTCACCAAAAAAAAAAAAAAAAACGAAGGTGTCTGCTTTAGAACACAGGATATAAGTGAAAACATCAACAAGATGAGATTAATAATATGAAATATAAATTATAAATAATAACTCATTACAGAGAGGATGAAATGCTGAATATTTTCCTCGCTTACAGTATACAGGTCCAATTTTTAGTATCTGAAATATTTTAATACATGTTCAACTAACCTGTATGGTTTTCGACACTATTTTTTCCTTTTCGACTCCCTAACACGGTGTCACGTCAAGATACAATTTTGAATTACAGCCTATTACAGAGAGGATTAAATGCTGAACACTTTCCATGCAGTAAGCGAGCAGGCTCGATTTTTAGTATCTGAGATATTTTAATTCATATGTAAAAACATTTTAATTAGTCGACTCTAGTTGAATTTACACGAGCGTTAACATTTCGGAAGTCTGACTGATCAATCTGATTCACTCTCTACGAAAAAATGTAAAAGAAGTTTTCACTTAAAAAAATAATGTTTTTCTTATAATTTATTATATTTTTAAGGGAATCAAGGCTTTGAAATCATGCAATAGCGACCAATTAGTAGATTTTTATTTTAGAGTTTTCTTTCAATTATATTTATCTGCTTATATTTATTAAAGACATTTTTTTTGTGATTTCGCTTGCAGTCGAATGAGTGCTTTATGGATTCTAGCGTACATTTTTCAAGGGCTAAAATTCGACAATCCTCTGTACGATTACTGAACTTCCAACGGTGCTTCAAATCAAAGCTCAAAGCGAGATGGAAGAAATATGTATTCAGGAACAGTGTCATAAACAAGGGAGCTCTTTGAATTGTCCACCTGCCCCATAATTCTCCTGGCGGGGTCGGTAAAGCACTGTGCCTCACCTCATCAAGCAGCGACGCTGCAATGGGGTACAGATTTCCGGCTGGTGGAATACTTTTGTCTCTGGATTTAATTTGGATTTCGAAATCTCCAGGGATAGTTTAAATTTAAATGTTTATTAAACATTTATTTTTACCATCGAAATATGAAAAATCACAACTGAGCCGTCTACTATACTACCAATAAAAAAACAAACAAATCAAACAAGGATATGACACGATACAAGAATCAAAGGTTAAAAAAAAAAAATCAAGGCTCTATGATAATGATGATAACACAAAAAAAATACGAAATTCATTGATATGAGTCATAAAGAAACCATAACAAAATTACGTGGGCCTATGTTCACTAACGCTATAGGAATGTTGACTATGTAATGATTACGATAACATTTCTCAGAATATTCTATTAGTCAGAACGATCCTTTGATGTAATTTTATTCATATACAGAGTATTTCAGTTTGGTCAAAATATGGAGGATGATACTAAAGAAAATATCAAAAGGGAATTTAAGACCAATTTTGTGTTTTAAAAGGTGGTCACTCGCGGTTCTATTCAATAAGAAGGAATTTCTCAAAAACTGTTTATGATAATTGAGATAAGTGCCCTTACTCAGCCTCCGCTGGCTTTTGATCCCTTTGAAGTGGCTGAGGGAGAAGCGCAGGGATCTCCTGAAGCCTCGCTTTTTCCCTCCACAAGTGGGGAGACAAGTCGAGTTCGGAGTTCGCATGGCCGATTGTAAATAGTGTAAATAGGTATGCCTGCGTCTAAGATGTTTATTTTTATTACTTTTTTTTTTTTTTTTTAGAGAACATTTTAATTCTATTTTATTTATTTATTTTAATTTTATTATTACTAATATTTTTATTTTCTTCCTTCATTATGATATTGTATTTTGTTCTTATTTCGCTGTATATTTGAAATTACCTTATTTATTTTTTGATCTTGTAAATATGATGTGCTCTCTGAACTCTATTATAAATGTCCTTTATTGAGACAGATTGTAATATTTATCAATAAATAAGTAATCCATTGATAATTGAGTAATAAGTATACCATAATTGTAAGTATTCCATCTTGAATCAGACAAAAATTTGTAGAGAAAACTGATTAAATTTATTACTGTCAATGATAAAAGGGACTTTCATAAGATCAAATATTGCTGTTGCTACAGTATTGCTACCTACAGTACCTGAACAGCATATCTGTGTAATCTCGATTCATGAAATAATTCGGTACAATGGTAGGCTTTGCGCGTTATTAGACCTCTTGATAGTCCCTTTTATCATTGACCTTAGTAAATTTAATCAGTTTTCACAGAATTTAATTATATTGAACAGTTTTTACAAAATTCTTTCTTAAAAACACTACCACCTTTGTTAACGCCAGAGCGACTTTATCCTGGCTTTAGCACCAGTGACGCGGTTTAGAGAGTAGCGCAGGTATCTCTTAGAGTCCTGCTTTTCCTTCTATAGTTGGAGGAAGAAGCCTGGCTTTGGGTTTCCTGCCTGATTGTATATATTGTACATAGGTATGACTGTGTTTTTATGTTTTAAATTTACTTATCCTTAGGTTATTTTATTTTTTTTTTATTGTACATAGTTTTCTTTATTGTTATTTTAATTTTACATTTTCTGTATATATAGTGTGAATGTGTTCCTTAATCACTATAATTATTGTCCACGAGACAGAATATTATATATCTCAATAAATTAAAAAAAAAAAAATTGGTTAATTGTTATTTTGGTTTTTTCTCATAAAATGAAACCGATTAATAATTATATATATATTCTTAGGCCCATAGCTTATCTTGTTCATATTCAATAGGTAAATAGTTTATACTTAAATTGTTATCGATTGTAGCCCTAGCTATAAACAATTGCTAGGCTCAAGCCCTTGGCAGTGGACTTAGACAATAGACAGTCTGTCTCCGCCCTTTACTGAACTGAATACTGCCAACTTCTACACTGCCCACTGCAGTTCTACTGTGAAGAGACGTACTTTTCTCATCGTGCTCGCAGCTGCCCATTTGCAGATTTAATTCTATGAGCGCTAATATTGAACCTGCGTTCAGTCGCTGAAGAAGGATTGGAGTGCCAGCGGTTCGTCCATATCTACGACCGTCACCTGCTTGCGACCACGTAAAGTTAGTTTTGTATAATTCTTACTTTTTGGTTAATATATATTTGTTAATTTTTCCATTATCGATTGTAATTTTTGGCCATTTACATATAATTTTTTTATTTAATTTCCATAATCAAACATAGAAATATTTTATTAGATATTTCATAATAGTCTTTATTAGCATTGTGTTCAGATTATCATTATTTTCGTTTTAGAAGATATTATTTTATTATATCTATTGATACCAGTTCATTTTAATTTTTATATTTTCATTATTGTAGTGGGTGTAAATGTTTCAAAATAAAGTCCACTTTTTTTGAAATTACAATCGACTTAATTCGAATAATAGTTAGGCTTCATTCGAAGTTGATTTAAACTAAGAGGGAGCTTAACAACCTTAATAAAGACACAAAATAAGTCTTAATTATTTTACCGTTCATAATCGGCCCATGCATGAAATGAATTTTTTTGTTTGAAATTTTGTCTAGAATCACACCCTCCCTACAGAATTTGACCATTAAGAACTAAGACACCCTGTGTAAAAGAGTAAAATGGTGTTTAAAAACTTGAGTACATATTCACTGGCGGATTCAAAGTATAGGCCTACAAGAGAGGGTGCGCCAGGGTGGTATGCTTTGGGCTTAAGTCATTAACGTTAATTGGTAAGATAATATATAATATTATAATATAATATTATAATAAAATATTATAATATAATATTTATAACAAAGAATCAAGTTAAATGGTTGAGTCTATTTCTGAAAACTTGATTATAATTAAATTAAACTAAGATTTTGAGCCTGTCTCACGAATATAACGCAATCAGAAGTCACAACCATTTGTGCTATAAAAAAAAAAAATAAATAAAAAATAAAAACCTATACCACTACAACCCATGAAATGTCTTGGGTTCTCTACTATTTAGGGAAAGTACTGTTTCAAGACCAACAGTTGTGCAGTGGGAGGATCGGGCCAGGTTCACGCTCAACCGCCATGTTTTCCCCCTTACTAAATTATTCAATTAAGGGAACCCACTATGTAGGGGATGGATGTGCCCCAGAAAGGTCTTCCTATCCCAGTGTAGGGATGAAACAGATGAATAATTTTTCTGTCATGAACCGGGATTCGAACCTGGGGCCTTGAAGCGTAGTGCCCTACCAGTAAGCTACCCCACCTCCTGTATCTAAAAAAAAAGAAAAAGTGAAACGCTTCACGATTTTGCATCTTTGCGCAGGAGCCATGCTAATCTTCTTTGTGTCGTTCCAATTTTAGTATATGTACCGCCGCAGCGACCAAACAAAATAAATAAATAATAAATAAAAGTAGTTTTTGTCGACTATTTTATAAAGTTTGACTACTCGAAATTATGTTTATTGTAGGAATCACTCGAATATCTCTACATACGTTCGTTATGATACGTATAGAAACAAAGACTAATTTCCTTTGGATTTAAAATATCCCTTGAGCAATCGAAACAAATCAGACGTGACCTTTATATCTTTATATGAACTTCAAAGAACGGTAGGTTTAATGAATATTTGTGTAAATATATATTTATTCATTTGACAACGTTTCGCTTTGAAGATATGTTTTTGGTATATAATTATCGATTAAATAAAATATTACTTAATTGGTTTTTGATTTAGCGGTATTTTATATCCCCGCCTTTATGAGGCAAAAGCTCCAACTAATTTATTTAAGTTAGAGCCGGGATTCGAATCTGGGACCTTGAGAATTTGAAGCTTAGTGGCCTACCACTAAGCTACCCCACCTCGTGAATTAAAAAAAAAATGCTAAACGCTTCACGATATTGCTTCCTTGCACAGGGGCTATGCTAAAGTTCTTTATATCATTCCAATTTTAGTATATGTACCGCCGAAGCGAATAAAAAAAAATAAAGACTTTTTTTTTATTATTTCTTAATGATATTTACAACTGTATTAAAGAAATACATCTAGTAAATTGGAACATATGGATAATATGACGTGAAAACACTTGCTGAGTAACCACCCAATGGTAGCACTCTAATGATATGTCTACATTAGGAGATCACGGGGCCATCTTCTTTTCAGACGCTTTGGAGGGCTATGAGGAATTGAAGAGGAAGCAAGGTTAGAAACAGGAGGGTTGGGGTGATTCTGAAGTTTATTATGGAAGAATAGGTATCTGGATTGGGCCAGATCTGAAACATTAAGTTCATTATGGATGGTTTTATTTATAACAAAGTAGGGAGCATTGAGGATTTTACGAAGAATTTTGGATTGTAAGGATTGGATACGAGAGGAATTCGATGGTTTAGTGGAGCCCCATAGCTCAACTCCGTAAGTCCAAATAGGCCTTATTATATTCATGTATATGTTTTGTAATTAATTGGAAGTTTAGTGCGATTGTCTAATAAGTGCTGAAGTAATCGGAAACGTCAAACGGTTTCTTGTCGTTTCAGTCTGGTATGAGTAAAGAAAAATAAAAGTAGTTTTGTCGACTTTTTTTTCTAAAGTTTGATTTCTCTACATTATGTGTATACTTCGAATCACTCGAATATCTTTGCATACATACATATAATACATATAGAAACGAAGACTGCTCTCCTTTCCTTTGGATTTAAAATCTACCTTCGGCAAACCAATCAGACGTGACCTTTATATCTGGAACGAAATCCACCCCGACTTCTGGGTAACAAGGCAACAAACATTTCTGACTGTTGGATATAATAAAAGGAGGGGACGAGGTTAGAGGAATAAGTAAATATATAAAAAAAGAAGCGACCATGAAGAAGAGCACGTGCTATAATGCCGCTTGAGGCATAAAGCGCCACGGCCTCGGAAATTATTACCCCTTGTGCGCCTTCCAAATCCCGCCTTTTATATTTATTGCTTCAAACACGTGTAAAAGATAAAATTGTTTTATACTTACACCCGCACCAATTTTCAACATTGCCTAGCCATTTTTTTTTCCGGTTTATAGCCGACCGTTTCTTACGGCCGATGGGAAGTAAATCTGAGGATGTTATTGTTTTATTTCAAATAGGGTCATAAAATTATTGTTTTATAGCTCAATGAAAAAGAGATTGAATGTTAGTTTATGTGGACCTCAGGATTTTGTATGAATATAAAAATTCATTTTTCATAGGGCAGCGGAGGAGGAATAGATACTTAAAATTTAATAAAAAATTATTATTTTATACAGCGACTCCTCTATAAAATGATTATATGCTTCAAGGGTGTATGAGATGACACAGCATCACGCAGGTTTATTGAAAATAAATTTTTTTTTTAACGACGTCATTGCGAATACTTCTTTAGCTCTGGATCTTTCGCCTTCTTTTAATATTTGTGTTTGAAATTTTATTTATTTATTTTTCGATAAATTACTCCTGGTAAATTAATAAAAATTAATTAATCCTGCATCCGAGACAAATTTCCTCCTCTCTGTTACCTGCTCAACGTCATTTAAAACGAAAATGTTCAGAGAAAAGAGAAAAAGGAAAAGAAAAGAGACCTTGCTCTTTAAACAATAACTAAATGAAAAGCAAATTCGAAGAAAGTAATCAGCTGCATTAAATTTGCTAGATACAGTTGAAAATTTAATTAAAAAATGATTTAAAAAATTAATTTTTATTATTCATTACTTAAACGAGATGCCGCTAATAATAATATATAAACGAAGAAAATAAATAGTTTGTTGGCCTTTCAGCAGTTTATGTTTTTTACAATAAGTGAGGAGCTAGCCCATGACAAAGCTTTTTAGGGTACACCAATTTTACTACCTTTACTCATCACTTGAAAGCAATGGAAGAGCTAGGAAGGATACTGAAAAACAAAATTGAAAACGGGCGGAAAGCAATTGGTATGATCAATTCAGTTCTCTGAAGCCAAAATATTTATAATAATGTAAAGAAATTAATATATAAAACTCTGGTAGGGAGCGTAATGCTCTATATTTCGGAAACGTAGCCGCTCGAGAAATCACAGAATAAATGATTTCTAGCTGTTCGGATGGATTCTTGGAGGAGGTCGGCTAGATTCTCAAGGACGCAAAGAGTCAGAGACGAGACCATTAGAGAAAGGATGGAAGTTAAATATAATATACTAGAAATAATGTAAGAAAGAAGATTTCAGTGGTATGGGCATATGAAAAGGTTGAATAGTGAACGACTTCCCAAAACGGCATTTGAGTGGGAAGCCAAGGGTAGAAGGAGAGGAAGACCTCGTGTCAGCTGGAGAGATGTTGGGGGCATGGCGAGCCGAGGGCTGACGCAGGAGGAAGCATTGGACAGGGAGAAGTGGAAGAACCGACTGAGGGAGGAGTTTGGTTGAGGGAAACTTTAATTTATGAAGAAAACCCTTAAATTAAAAATAAAAGATATAATTTTCCGACTAAACAACAATGCAAAGCTTATCGGTAATAAATCCCTTATAGTTTTTTTTATTAACCTATACCAAGGATTTCCAAAATAAGGTTCGTGAAGATTTCTTTGATTACACAGTAAAATTAAAAAAAAAAAAAATGTGAATGTTAGCAAATTCCTCACATAAGAAGTTACTACAACATTTATTGCATGTTTTTCCTTCTTAGAAAGCTCTTTTCACAACTGAAGTGCTATTTATAAAACGAGATATTTTTTTTTTATCGTGGGCTTAAAAGTTTGGAGATCCCCGATCTACACTAAGTACATCACCACAAGGATGTTCATATTACACAGATAGGTTTATAATACCAATTGTTTCTTTGTAAATTCGTTTTCAGTTGCTATATAAAGATATTACCGATATAAAAACTGATTGATAGCTGAACATCAAAATGACGATAGTAAAAATAACATATTGCTAATAATTATCTTTGCTTACATAGAGACTTGCTCATATTGCTGATAGCTGAGACGATATGCATCGACAACGACAGACGGTTCTATGTGACCTCTGTTACTGGACTATTAGATAATAGGTCACTATATAACGCTCGGCTATCTCCAACTCACCAGTTATGGAGCTGTTTATTCTGTGTGTGTTGTTTGTGTCTGTCAAGGCTGGATGGCTAGAGGAGCCTGTTGTAAGTGTTAACAGTTCAACAATTTATTTTTAAAAAGTTTCTTTTCTTCCGTAATAACACTGCTAAAATTAGATTTGCTATCATATACGTGCCAGATCACTCATTTGATATCCTTCTACTCCGTAATACATTGGAAGGATAAGCGATAATGTGAAAATCTTTGTTTAAACAATATAATATTAAAAAAATCAACAAGTAATATTAAAAAAAATCTATTTAACACACTTAAATGTTGAAATACATAGTCCATAAAATGAAAGGATGATCCTTGCGAATAATTCGCACAGTATATTTGCGTAGCTGGAACTTCGGGGGGAGGGGGAGAAAGGGAAGGAGGGGAAAGGAGGTTTAGGGCTGAAGCCCCCCCCCCCTAAAATGGTAAAATATAACCATGTTCAATGGAAAAAAATATCAAAAAGTTATTTCTTAAAGTATTATTGTTTGTGTAATTACATTTAATAGGACCTCAAGAATCACTTAATCAAGAATCACACCATTTCATATAGGTAGTTAGTTCCTTTCACTTTTTTCAACGTAACTATCAATATATATATATATAAAGAGAAAAAAAAAGTTTTCGGGCTGAAGATCCAACCCACTCCATAAAATTAAATCCTGGATCAACAAGTGTGGGGGTCAGTGAACAAATTATAAGGAATTAAACAATGTAACGTACATAAGATAGAGATGGGTTAAATCCCTGCTAATTTTCGTGTGTATAGGTGGAGTCATGTTGAAGTTATCACACGTTTTCTAATTTTCAAAAAAAATTTTGAGGTGAGAATTTGAAGCAAAAATTTTTATATAATAAAGATATAAAGTGGCACTTCCGGTATGCTGATTTCAGGAAAAATGGATCACAGGCACAACCTACCTGAAATACATGATTTCAGTTTTGTATGAATTCTCGTTTTTGAACTAGTCTGTTAATATACACGCAATATGCTTTTCATTATTGTTATTTTTGGAAACTAAAATTTTAAGTCACTACAATATAAAATAAAATAAAATGTTTTCAGTAGTTCATCAACTTGACATAATTAATAATAAAAATTAACTTGTATTATCAAAATGGGATATAGTGATGGGTGAATAAAATATATTGAAACAAATCGTGGTGTTGTTCCGAAATCATAATTGAAGCTATAAAATTATTAAAAAATAATATAGACCGATATGACGAAGATGAATATGCATTTAATAATCATATTAAAATTAACCGTTGATAAGGTTGCGCTGAACTAGCATCTAAACATCACATCACAGAAGCTGGTTCGAATCCGGCTCGGTAGGGTCGACTTTAATATTTCATTCTGACTTAGTTGGCAGGCGTTTGAAATATATACATATATCAAAAAATTGATAATTTAATCTATTAATATAATAAATACGCTGATAACCCATTCCATATTTATCAGTAATAGTGTTGCCCAAATGCACGATCCAAGACGAGTCTTGATCATGGTCTTGGTCTTGCACAAAAGTCTTCCAACAGTCTTGCGATTACCTATTAGTCTATTATTATAGAGATATTACTGTAATTTTCGGATAGGGGAAACCTAACTAAGGCCTAATGAAAAATTGTAAGAGTTAAATGCAAAAGTATATTGGTTATACCAATTCTCTACCTAAAGTAATTAAAATTGTCAAGTATTAGTAACTATTTTGCCTTATTTTTTATTAAAAAAAACGATTTTTTTTTTACTAGTTTTGGTTTTGGTCTTGCAGCAGTATGGCGGTATTGATTTTCTTCTTGCAAAGTGCAAGAACAAAACCGATTTTGGGCAAAACTAATCAGTAGACTAATGAAAATAAATTCAAACGGGATATCTGAAAATTAAAGAGAAATGAATAAAAGGAAGAGATAAATTATTGTCATTTCATTTCAATAGTGTTGCCCAAAATCGATCTTGGTCTTGCACTTTGCAAGACCAAGACCAAAACCGCCTAACTTTTGCAAGACCATGACTAGGACTGGCATTATAATCATCGATAAACAAAAGAAAATAGCGTCTATTATAGAAATTGGAGCTCCTTCAAATGATACTCTACAGGTTGTGGCGAAAAAAAAAGAAGAAAATATGTAGAATTGGAGGAAGAATTAAACAACTGTATGATTTAAAGAAAAACCGGATTCTACTGTTAGTAATTTCATCTAATGGGTTAATACCAGAAGAATCTCCATCTTCTTTGCGTGAGCTGGCCTTCCTGTTTGTGAAAATGAAAAAAATGCAAATGGCAGTATTTTGGGAACAGCAAGTATTGTTCCGAAATTTACAAATATAATATAATTTTGAAAATATATTAATGTAATATTTGGTTAACCAATTCGGTCCCCAACTATTACAAACAACCATATAATGCGTTAAAAAAATAAATAATAATAAAAATAAAATAACATTAAGAATTATGATTATTTTATTGTTATAGGAAAGAGATAAATCGGCACTTCCGGTATACCGATTTCAGGGGAAAAGATTGCTAAAACATCCCAGGAACAACCTACCTTAAATACGTAATTTCAGTTTCGTATGCATTTTTGTTTGTGAGCTAAGCTGTTAATATAGACAAACTCATAAACTATTTTTTTGGGACTTACAAGGAAAAGAGAGAATGCAGTCTGTGGATCACTGATTCTAACTATTGTTTTTTTTTTGTGATACTACATCGAAAAATATTAGACACTTGCACGGAGTTCTTTCCAATGGGACCTAAGGGGTGAAAAAAATAAAATTTTATATAATTTCAAACAAAAATTATTTTTACTTTTATATTCCTGGATTTTTTGGCTACTATTTTTCAATCGTTTTGATTTTTTGTGCAAAATAAGAAAAAAAAAATAACTGTTGTATTAAATGAGTTATAATGTATCATGATTTACAAAACCAAAAGGTGCTTCTAGTAGAGTAGGCAAAGTAAATTGTATGAAAAATCAAATTAGATTCATTTTTATGGCCCTTTAAAATTCTTAAATACGAAGTTTTTCTTAATTTCCAGATCGAAAAAAAAAATATAACCCTAAAGTTATTGGTGTCAGTTGGAATAACAGTAATTCAGATATGTTAAAGTTGGATTTGAAGAAAATCCTGAGGAGTTATGAAGGGTTTAGTTGACGGCCGAAAAGAAAATATCTCCAAGGAAATCAAATACTAAAGGTTGCATTTTTAACTCATATAACAATTAGTATTTAAGAATTTTAAAGGGCACTAAAAAGGAATCTAATTTGCCTTTTCATAATAAAAATTCACTTGGCCTACTTTACTGGAAGCACCTTTGGGTTTCTGTAATTTATGATCCACCATAACTCATTTAATACAATAGTTAATATTTTTTTTTATTTTGCACAAAAAACAAAACAAAAACGATTGATATATAGTGACCTAATATTTTTCGATGCAGTATAACCAAAAAACAAAAAGTTGAAATCGGTGACCCATAGACCTTAAAAAACGTTTCCGTTGAATACTCACATTCAAAATTTTTCATGATTGGAAATTTTTTTTTATATTACATATAAAGATAAGTGAAAGAAAAAAAATGAGCAAATAAACATGAAGAACGAATCAATAAATATATATTTTTTTAATGAAATTTACAAGCGTATAAAAACAAATATAAATCTAGTAAATGTTATTCATAGTATGTAGTTATTCAATGACATGAGAACACTTGTTGAAAAACCACCTATTGGTAGCACTCCAATAAAATTTCTAATTTAGGAGATAACAAGGGCATTTTATATAAATAAACATAAACGTATTATGATGTTTAAGATTACAATGTTTATTCATAAAATAACAATATATTTAAACAATATATAGCAATTATTTGATTTCCAAATACAACCAAAAATTTTCAATAATACTATCATAACTTATGCCATACTGATACGTTTTTTTTTTTAATTATTTATTTATGTATTTATTATTTAGAAAATAAAGCAAATTATTGGGCGTTGAAATACTAAATTTGCATATTTTAGACTTTGTGATGTGTTAATTCATAATATTATTTTTTTTTTATAACCGTTGACTCCTGGTGGAACACAGAGCATCTACAAGTGCTTTCCATTTTGCTCTTTTTGCAGCAATCATTTTCGCTTCTGGCCAAGTCATGTCAGCCCGGCTTAGGCCTTTTTGTACAGATCTAGGCCCTATCTCTTTTGGTCTTTCTCTTCTTCTTGTTCCTTGAGGATTCCTTTACACAGCTTATTTTTCGATAGCACAATCTGCTTTCCTTAAAGTATGTCCTATCCATTAGATTTCCATTTTCATGTTAATGCATTGAATAGTAAAAATTTGGTGTTATTAATATTTCTCCATGATTATAATAATCAAAGTGATTATTAATAAAGACGTAATCTGTTTACTGAAACTATGTTTGGCAATGTTCTTCTTTCCATAAATGTGATATTGGGCATCAAATAATTTACATATGAAGCATTCAAATATAATTCTGACATATGAGGTCAATGGTTCAAACAAGCTTTCTATTTCATGAAACAAAATTAACAATGGTCCTAATAATAATGTGTCTGTTCGCGGTGTTCGTAATACGGCTTAATGCACAAATAATGTAATCTGGCTTTCTTTGTTTCTGAGCTACCAATATGTAACGTATATGTTTTCATTTATCTGTAGAAATATAAAATTGAGTCGAAAACTGAACAATTATAAATATTTGATGAATCATTTGGCTATTAATCTTGGTTATGATTTTTTTAAATTTTAAATTTGATGTATTTCTTATAAATATATATCAGAGGTATAAAGGGAATATAAAATTAGGCTTAAAACACTACCTTGTTAATTTAAAATAAATTCAAATACAATATCAAAAAATTAAAGTGAAAAAGAACTGATGAATGCTCCGAAAAAACTTAAAATGTTTTTGAGTTACAGAAAAAGAATATCGAACAGAAAATAGAAGAAACAAACAATCAATGAAACTGGGGATATGAAAAAAAAGCGGCGGCAAAAAACATTTTTTTATAATCAAGA